TGCTCAGATGTTCTCAGAAATGCTTTGCCTTCACTTCCTGGACACAGGAGGGGCAGATTTCCTCTTAACAAGATTTGAGCTTTGTTTGGGGGATATTTTGATAGGAATTTCAACAATGTAAATGTTTACTCAGAGTATCAAGCGATAAAATGGCCATATTTGGCCCAGAGAGAGAGGAGAGCATAGTTGACCAGAGTTCCATCCCCCACACCACTTACGGTCCCCAAGCACTGCCAGGAATGATCCTTGAGCACAGAGTAAGGAGGCAGGAGTAAGCCCTGCGCACTGCCAGGGGCACGAAGAATTCACAAGTGATGTCAAGCTAACGCTAGTAAGAAAACCAATTCCACAGCCTTGTTGTTCGAAGTGCTAGAGAACTCACTCTTGCCCAGAGGAAAGAGCTTGTGGGCTAGAGAGAGCACAGGGAGAGACACTCGCCTTGCATGCAGCCAAGCCCAGCCTCCACCCGGGCACCGCAAGGGTCCCTGAGAGCCTCTAACAATGATCCCTGCGCGCCCCAAAAGTGGTCAGCTATAGTCACTGTCTCCATCTAGTGGCCAGTCTGTGAAAATACTTTACAAAGGAAGCCAGCTTTTTCCTTTTTTTAATTTATTTTTATTTTTTTTAATTGAATATCTGTGAGATAGACCGTTACAAAGCTCTTCATAATTGGGTTTCTGTCATACAATGATCCAGCACCCACCCCCCACACCAGTGTACATTTCCACCACCAATGAAAGCCAGCTTTTTTTCCTTTTTTTTTTTTGCTTTTTGGGTCACATCCAGCAATGCACAGGGGTTACTCCTGGCTCTGAGCTCAGGAATTACCCTTGGCAGTGCTCAGGGAACCATATGGGATGCTGGGAATCAAACCCAGGTCGATTGCGTGCAAGGCAAACGCCCTACCCGCTGTGCTATTGCTCCAGTCCCTGAAAGCCAGCTTTTTCCGTGTCCTTCACAGAGGCGTGATTGCCGATGTCTTAGTCCTGGCACTGTGCACCCCCCAGTAGTGATCCTGGTGCCCCCTCAACACAGCTAGGAGTGGTCCCCGAGAAAACAACAACAAATGGCTTACTGATTTCCTATCCACTTTTGGGGAGGGAAGAATACTTGTGGATTTACCAATTAAAACTTTTTTCTCAGTTGAGTATCAACCATGCTAACCTCTGTCTTTCCCACATAGCACTTATTATTGTATTACATAGACGAAATTTGAACATTTCCCCTGTTTTTTTCTTTTTTGGGTCACACCCAGCGATGCACAGGGGTTACTCCTGGCTCTGCACTCTGGAATCACTCCTTGCCCTGACCCATATCATCAGGGGACCATATGGGATGCTGGGAATCGAACCCAAGTTGGCTGTGTGCAAGGCAAATGCCCTACCCGCTGTGCTATCGCTCCAGCCCTTTCCCCCCTCTTCTAAAGTACTTTTTTTACTTTTAATTTTGGGGCCACATCCGGCTTTCTTAGGGGCTTACTTCTGGCTCTGTGCTCAAGGAATCACTCCTGGCAGTGCTCTGAGGACCATATATGGCACCAGGGATAGAACTGGGGTCAGCCTGTACTACCTTACCAGGGCAGTACGTTACCTTACTACCTCTCTGCCTCCGTCCCCCAAAAAAGCTTTTCAAATAATCCAATAGTGTGTAGCACCAGGGTTCAGGAAAAGACCTCATATGTGCATGCATGTTATTTCCACTCACAGCGGAAATAACGCAGTTCCTAGCCCAAAGCCGGAAGTCCAAGCGAATGCATGGCAGCGTGGAAGCATGCAGTGGACAGCGTGGCCACTCTCTCGTGCTCCCAGGGCCTGTCTCCGTGTGCTCACGTGGGCTTCCCCTGTACCCAAATCGCTGCTGTCCAGGACCCCAGTGCGGGATTAGAGCCCATCCGTATGACCTCAGTGCATCTGACTCACCTCTTTGAAGCCCGTATCTGCAAACATAACTGCTTTCCCGTCTTTGAAGTCTCCGTCTCCATCACCTTCCGGATGGGGATTCGGCCCCCAACAACCACCCTCCAACATGAAGGACTGTCCATGAAATACAGAAAGAGTGATGCCCCCATTTCCCACGCAGACCGTGCAGCTCTTTGACAAGGCTTCCACACACCTACGTGCTTAGGAGCTCAGGGACTGCGGTGAGCTGTCGCATGACCCCCAGCCTTCAGGTCCGGCTCCTGCCCCAGCTCCAACATGGCAGGAATTCGCATTCCCAGGCACGTCAGCATGACGCGTACACCCCAGGGCAGGAAGAGCCAGCTGCACCCAGCCCAGGGTGGCCCGGGAAGTCAGAGGCTGGGCCTGGGAACGTGTGAAGGCCACCGGTGTAGGCCCTGGACGTCAGAGGAGCAGACACAAGCCAGCCCTGCCAGGGGCAATGTGCTCAGGCCGGGCAAGGGCCTGACGAAGGCACAAGGCCAGGCCAAAGTCTGCACTCGGAAGAGGGGTGCCCAGAACACAAACAGCCCGACTCTGCTCAGGGCTAAAGCTCGGAGGCCTCTTCCTGGAAAAATTGTAAAAACCTGTTGAGAAAACTGAGCTTTGAGAATACGGATCAGGCAAGAGAGCAGGAGCAGCTCAGCCCAGCGGCTGGCAAGGCGCTACACTCCCGAGAACTTCCCGTTAGTGCGTGAGGGGCGTTTCCAGCTACAGCCCAAAGACTCAAACTGAAAACAGGGAAGGAACGGAACTTATAAAAAAAAAAAAGAAAGAAAAAGATATAGGGTTGGAGTGATAGTACAGCAGGTAGGGCATTTGCCTTGCATGCAGCACCCTGGATTCGGTCCCCAGCATCCCATATCCCACGGTTCCTTGAGCACCACCAAGAGTGATTCTTGAGTACAGAGCCAGATATAAACCCTGAATCTGCCTGGTGTGGTCCGAAAACCAAAAAGGAAAAAGAAAAGGAAAACTCACTTGTGGTGTCGCCTCTGAATTTCAAATGACTGCATATGATTATGTTTATATATATATATATATATATACATATATTTATAAAGGACAGTCAGAAGGTAAGGCCGGGGCCAGAGAGGTGGCACAGCAGTTAGGACACTTGCCTTGAATGTGCTGAGCCAGGTTTGATGCCCAGCACTTCATATGGTCCCCTGAGCTCTACCGGGAATGACCCCTGAGCACTGCTGGGTGTGACCCCAAAACAAACAGAAAGTTAAAAAAAAACTAGACAAAGCAAAAAGGAGTTAACAAAACACAACAAAAATCAATCTGAGGAGCTGGAGCAATGGCACAGCGGATAGGACATTTGACTTGCACGCAGCCAACCTGGGTTCGATTCCCAGCATCCCAGGAGTAATTTCTGAGCGCAAAGCCAGAATAACCCCTGTGCATTGCCAGGTGTGACCCAAAAAAAAGCGAAAAAAAAAAAAACCACTCTGAGGAAAGTGGAGGTAGCCAGAGGGAAAGGTGGGGGCTGGGGGGATTGGTCAGTGTGGGGAGAGTGATGGAACTTTGGTGGGGACAGTAAGACTGACACATACCAAGAGGCATTTCCAAGATTTAAGTAGCGCTATGAGCCAATAGCACATCAGAACAATGTTGTTTACCAGTTTTTCACACCAAATCTTTAATAACAATAAATTGCTACAATTTTACAGTTTATTGCATGAACAGATATGCAAGGGATTTTAATAATAGAATGATCTAAATTGACTGTTAAAAAAAATAAGAAAAATTGAGGACTTCTTTGTGGAAATGGGTACGTTCAGTTGCTTTGAAATTGATGCAATATTGTTGGGAATTCATTGATCCTGCTGAGAGTTGACCCCGGATTAGTGGGTTTACTTCGCTCGGACAGAGGTCAGGTTGACACGGACATGCCTTTGCTCCCAAATTCAGATCGATTCCTCCAAAAAACATAACAAGTCAAGCCCACGTGGGTGAGAGTTTCAAAGGAAAACATTGGAAGGTCTGTGACTGTTAAAGCTCTTTACAAACGTTAGCAGTGACTGCTCTGTGCCTGCAGGGAGAGCACGGACCGGCAGCTGGGCCTCAGTCAGTGACTGCTGGACAAGTGGGTCTTGTCACCTGGACCTGAGCTCACCAAGGAGCATCCCCACCTGTGCGTGCTGAGGGGTTCCCACCAACCCGGAGGCCAGTATCCTCCATGGACTAGTCACAGAGTTAAGTGGGGTCAACGCAGGGGTATGACCACTGCTCTAGTGGGTCTACAGAAGGCCGTGATGTGGATATGCTTCTCAGACCACATCCGGCACTAAGTGACACAGGACTGCCCGTGAGGAGGGGGGAGGGAATGTCCCCTCTGCTCCCCCCCCCCATCAACTGAGGGCAGGATGGCAGGTCCTCTGCTCTCACCTGGGCCCGACCCGGGAGCAGGACCCCCGGGGCAGTATCCACTGGGGCATCTGAGTCTGCACACAACCCCCCTGGGCTCTGCCCGCAGTGCTCAGGGCGAGCACAGTAACTCAAAGACGGGAACCAGATGCCGCTGGATGGCTTCTGACCCCAGAACCAGGCATGGGGGCTGAGTCTGCACCCCTCACCCACCCCAGCAAGACCTGGGCAAGTACTCAGCTCTGGGGGATCCAGTTCTTACTAAACCCTCGACTCGGTGGGACGCACAGTATTGGGGGTTGGGGAGCCATGTCCTGACCTGCCCCTGATCCTGGGCAGCCACGGCACTCCACAGGCCTGGCTCCCCACTACCTGCCATGCCCAAAGGCCCCCAGAATTCCTCAGGAGACCCCAAATTCGTCCCCCCAGGCAGGACAGAAACTGGACGTTTAGAGACCGAGGTCCACGCGCGCCTTCCTGGTCTCTGGGGGCATCACCCCCTCCTGGTGTGGCTTTAGGGGCAAAGGACTCGCCCAGTGTCGCCTGCTCCGAAGGGTCTGATCCCACGGCTCTCGAGGTGGCTGGGTGGGGTCCGGCCAGGGTCAGTGTCAGGGTCACGGGGCTGGACTGAAGGATGAGCAGCTGGGAGGCTGGTGTGAGGGTGGGGAGGAGTCTGGGACGAGGCAGGAGGGGCCGGAGGGGGCGTGGCGGGAGGTGGGCCCCCCACTGGGTGAGGGTGGGAAGAGGCTGACTCTTCCCGGAGGAGCAGCGGCTGCAAGAGGGAGAGGCCCAAAGGCTCGAGAGGTGAGGGGTGCCGGGGGCTGCTCCGGGCTGCCTCAGTTTACACATCTGTGACTCCCAGAGCAGCATGGACTGGGGCAGGGATCAGGAGGAGGAGGAGGGTTGGTTGGAGTGTGCAGGACTCAAAAAAAAAAAGTCAAGGTTGTGAGGGAATCTGTGCCTGAGAAGTGGGGTGTCAGGGTGGGGGTATGCAGCTGACCCCCACTTCTGGGTGCAGATGGGGAGGGGAGGGCGGCAGGCGGCCCCAGCACCCAGAGGGTTAAGCATCCTGGGGTCCCACCCCGCTGGGCCCCTCCTGTGTTTACTTCGTCCCCCACATGTTCTGCCTCTGCTGCCGGCCCCTCCCCCTTGGGCCTTGGGGGGGTGGGGGCTGGGGGAGGGCCAGGGCCTGGAAGCCAGCGGACTTGGGGTGCCAGGAGAGGCGGAGGCCAGAGTGGGGCTCCGGGGGGTGGGCAGGAGGGGTCAGTGAGGCAGAGGGAAGCGAGGGAGCCAGAAAAGGCGGGCAGGGTGGACACCAGCTGCTCCGGCTGTGGGTGGTGGCCAGAGCGCAGCGCTGCGGAGCGCCCCGGGTTCCAGGCCCCACAGAACGGGCCCGTCTGCACCCCCACCTGTGCACAGGACCCAGGCAGCAGGAGGAGCTGGTCGCGCTGCCCTGCAGGCCGGTGACCGGTGACCAAGCTGACCATGTGGCGGCAGCTGCTCGCACTCGCCGTGTGTCTGGCCACTGCCGTCTGGGCCCAGGCCGAGCTCCCCGAGGCCCAGCGCCGCGGCCTGCAGGTGGCCCTGGAGGAGTTCCACAAGCACCCGCCCGTGCAGTGGGCCTTCCGCGAGACGGGCGTGAGCAACGCCAGCGACACGGTGAGGGGCCCAGAGCACTGCGAGCGGCTGCTGGCTCGCCGTGGGGAGGACGCAGGTCCCGACGCACTTGCTCTGGCCACTCAGCGGCCCCGGCCCTTCGCCCATCTGTCCGCAGACCTTCCCTGCTGGGACTTTCGTGAGGCTGGAATTTAAGCTGCAGCAAACCAACTGCCGGAAGAAGGACTGGAGATCATCGGAATGCAAAGTCAAGCCCAACGGGGTGAGTGTGTGTGCACGTGCACGCGTGTGCTTGTATGCTGTGTTGCATTGTGTGTGCGTGTGTGCCGTGTCCATACATGCTGTCTGAGTGCGTGTACATGTGTGCATGTACGTACATGCTGTGCTGTCTAGGTGCCCGTACACATGTGCCTGTTGTGAGCAGTTGGCAGAGGCAAAAATAGGTGCATGTGTGGTCATGCTGGTCACGGACAGGCAGGAGGGGTAAGGGGACTCCCAGGACCCGTGTCCTTCGTGGGTTCCTGTTCTCAGCCCTGACATGGAAACAGCACAAACAGGGTCCATCCCGCCCCCAGGCCTGGAGAATCCTGTCTTCACAAGGCAGCAGACTCCTAACGGGCCTGACTATGGTCCCCGGGCTCTGAGGGTGCTGGGAGGTGGGGGGCACTGGCTGGCTTCAAAGCCTCCCCTCCCCGCCTCCTCTGCCAGCAGCAGTGGGAGGTGTGACCAGATCAGAGCCTTTGTGTTCAGTCAGTTCTTAGAAGAAAAGGCAAACTAAGGTCACAGTGACGACATGGGCTCTGGTGGATGTCAGGCGGGGTGAGCCCTCGGGGAATGTTCTGCATACACACACTCACACACACACAGCACCCCATGGTTTGAGGGCCAGCGAGATAGCTCAGTAACAGAACACACACCTCAGAGCCCATCCCTAGGGCCCCAGGACCAACCCCGCGCCCCACCACTGACAGGGGTGGCCCCTGTACAAGCGCATCAGTCCCATCCCCCCCCCCCATTGGAAGCCCAGGCTGTGCGCTGAGCCCAAGACTGCTCCCTCCTGCCCGAAGTCCCACCCTCCAGCCTCCACCACCCCTCAGTCCGCATCCCCCTCCACAGAGAAAGCGGCAATGTCTGGCCTGCATCAAACTGGACGCGGAGGGGAAGGTCCTGGCCCGGATGGTGTACTGCCCCGTCCAGACGCAGGCCCAGCGGGTAAGTGGGCAGCCGGGCACAGAGACGGCAGAGGCCGGGCCTGGGAAGGTCGGGTGGGAGGTGGGAGCACGTGGAAGGCATAGGGACCCCCACCTTGCCTCCTCTGGGTCCGGGGGCCCTGCTCTGGGGGGCCGCTTCCTGTGGGCACCACGCGGACCTGAGCTCTGGGGTCCGGCAGGAGCCCCAGGAACGGCTGGAGGCGCAGTGTGGCAAGGTGGAGCGGACGGGCGAGGACCCCCACAGCCTCTACTTCCCTGGACAGTTCGCCTTCTTCAAGGCCCAGCCCCCACACTGAGCCTGTGGTAGGTTGGGGGGAGGGGTTGCCCAAGGCCTCACACCCAGACTGAGTCACTCCGGATGGCTGGAGAGCATGGGGGGGCCAAGGGCTGGCACCCGGACTGAGTCTCGGGTTCTTTGTCTCCAGCCTCGCGCCCACCTGCAGGGCAGCTGTCCAGGAAGTTGACGGGCAGCTCGGCGCCCTCCCTGTCCCCGAGACCCTCAGCTAATAAAGTCTGCTCCCCTCCAGCCGGGCTGCGCCTCCCTCCTTCCCGCCCTTCCTCCCGGGCACAGCTGGTGCGGCTGGCCTCTGTCCCGAATGCTGCCCATGGGGCTCTGGCAGGCAGGGCTCAGGCGTCTGCTGGGCCCCATTCCCGCAGGAGTGGACACACCCACGGCGAAATGACAGATGGTGATGGGTCAGCGGGAGGATTTAATGGGGACACACACAGAGAAGTCAGGCTCGGGGACATGGAGGCACAGCAGAGGGCCGGACAGAGGGTCCCCATCCACTCCCAGGACCAGCTGGCTGGGTGCACCCTGCCTTTCACCCCGGCAGGAGATGCGAGTGTCCTTGCTCTGAGCCACAGGATGGGTCGGCCGTGTGCAGGGCCGTGGGGATGGGGGACACAGAGGCTCTTCCAGGACTGAGGACCCTGGTGGTGGTGTGTGTGTGTGTGTGTGTGCGCGCGCACGTGCGCGTGTGTGGTCTGCCTCATGTGTCTGTGGTGTGCCTAAGTGTGTGCATGTGTGTGCACGTGTGCGTGTGTGTGGGGTTGCTCCTGGGGCTCGCACAGAGAAGCAAGGGTCCCAGGCCGCACTCAGAAGACGAAGGACGAGGGGGCGTCCTCGGGGTCGAGTGCCCGCTGGGCCTGGCCCAGGAGATCCTGGGCCTGGCGATCCAGATCGTGGCACTCACGCAGGGTGTGGCGGAACTGGCGACATGCCTCCTCCAGGATGGAGCCGCTGCGGGCCGGACGGGCCTCCCAATAACCGGGCTCCACCCAGGGCTGGGCGGTGGCGGTGGGGGGGGCCGGGCCGGTCCCGGGGCCCAGGGAGCGGTCCAGGTCGCGGCACAGCTGGTAGAAGTCGCTGCCGCGGCCCGTCACACGCTGCCCATCGATGACCCTGAGGCGCGGCAGCAGCTCGCGCACGGCGGCCCCGTAGGTCGGGCTGGCGCACAGCGGGTTGCTGAGCCGGGCCAGCGGGTCCCGCAGCCGCAGGTCCTGGAGGCCGGGCAGCCCCGCCAGGCACTGCAGCTGCCCCGGCGTGGCCAGCAGGTTGCCGGCCACGTTGAGCCGGCGCAGGCTCTCGCAGGCGGCCAGCGGCTCCAGCCCGGTCAGCAGGTTGTTGGCCACATTGAGCACGGCCAGCTGGCGCAGCGAGGCGAGCGGGCCCAGCTGCGTGAGCGCGTTGCCCGACAGGTCCAGCCACTCGAGGCCCAGACACTCGCCCAGGCAGCCCAGCTCGGCCAGGCCCAGCCCGCGCAGCTGCAGCAGCAGGATGGAGTCCAGCGCGAACTCGCCCGAGCGCCCCTTCAGCAGCTCCGGGGTCACCCGCACCCGGGCCCCCTCTCCCGCCTTCTCCCCGGGGGGCTCCATGGCCTGCGAGGGGGCCCCCCCTGCACGGCCGCCCGTCACCCGGAGGCCGTCACCTGGGCTGTCTCCGACACCTGCAGTCCGGGCCTGAGGGGAGAGGGGACAGTGAGCGACTCGGGAGCCGCGGGGACCCAGCACCCAGCTCGCCCGGCTCCGGAGGTGGGAGGGCGCCCGGTGCCAGCCCGCACTGAGGCTGGACTCTCCCACCATCCACGACAGACACGCATCACTTCTGCGGTTCCCCCATTCCACTGCCACCCCCAAACCGGGCTTCCTCCCGACGGCAGCCAGGCCAGATCGGGCCTGCGCCCTCACTCCACTGTGGTCGAAAGGTTGGTTTGGTTTGGGGGGTGAGGGCAGCACCCCTGGCAGGCCCGGGGGATCATACCATGTGCCAGGATGTGTGCGAGGCAAGAGCCGCACTGCAAGGCCACTGCTCTGGCCCGCACCTTAGGTTAGTGCTCGCAGTGCTTCCAGAGGGCATCAGCCAGCATCCAGCCTCCACGGGGTGCAGCTGGGGCCCTGGGCTTCAGGCCCCAGTTGTCCAATGTGAAGTGAGCCCCAGGGATGAGCCACGGGGGCCACAGAGAACACGTGGTACCCAGACCAGTCCCCAGGCCCACCCGGGCCCTGGGAACACAAAGACCCACATTGGGAGGTGGCTCTGGGATGGTCCCCGCCCCCACCACTCAATGGATGTGGCCCCTGCAGAAAAATGACAGAAGAGGGGCTGGAGTGATAGCACAGCGGGGAGGGCGTTTGCCTTACACGCAGCCGCCGACCTGGGTTCAATTCCCAGCATCCCATATGGTCCCCCAAGCACCGCCAAGAGGAATTCCTGAGTGCAGAGCCAGGAATAACCCCTGTGCACTGCTGGGTGTGACCCAAAAAGAAAAAAAAAAGAAAAAAAAGAAGCAAAAGAAGGGGAGGTGGAGTCAAACATGGGGGCTGGGGGGACGCAGGCTGGACTCTGTGGTGGCTCTAGAGGGGCCTTGCCCGGCTCCAGAGCTGTGGAAGGCAGCGTCCAGGCTGGAGTGAGAACCGGGGCCAGGGACAAGGGGCGCAGGCCAGGCCGCCTGGGGAGGGGTCAGGGTCTACGCAGAGGAATGCAAGGAGGCACCTGGGGGTACCCCCACCCTGCAGCGGCTGCCAGGCCTGGTGGAGTGAGTGCTCAGAGGCCTGTGGCTGCTCCCACCAGCCCCCACTCCAGCCTCTCTGTCCACACTCCACCAGGGACCGGGGCTGCGTCCCGTCTGAGCCCCGTCTGCACAGGAGTCCCCACGTCCCTACCCAGCCCCCACCCCCCCCAAGCTGTCTCTTCTGTTTCTAGCCGGCTCAGCTCCTGCAGAGGTGGGTAGCTTGGAAGCCAGCCCTACCCCCCTCCCCGGATGCATAGGGCATAGCGACCAGGGGGAGCCCGAGAGGCCCTGCTCTGGCCATAGGGACAGGGCGAGAGACACTGGCACAAGAGACCTGCCACCAAGGCAGCAGCAAGACCCAAGGACCCTGAGAGTGTCCCAGGGGAGTGGGGGGCAGGGAGAGATGGGGCTGCTCATGGGGGGGTGGGGGTGGGGGGTGCAGACAGCCAGGCGGCTACAAAGGGTCCTTGTGCTGGTTGCCTATGGCCACGAGCACACAGACTCTAAGGAAAACAACAGAGGCACCTCCAAGGGCTGAAACAGAACTGCCAGGGGACCCAGCAGGCCGCCCCAGGGCTCCGGTTCCAGGAATGTGAGAACAGGAATCCCACAGGACGGGGCAGGCCGTGGCCGCTGCACAGCCAACGGTCACAGCAGCCAAGATCCAGGAGCAAACCAAGTGCCCAGGACAGTGAGGAAGGGCCGGTCTCTGACGCGGAGGCCCACCCTCAGCCACCAGAAGATCCAATCCCCTGGAGGGAACGTGGCTGCCCTGGAGGGGCCATGAAGGACACTGGTGTCCTGCCCCACACACCCGCACTGCAGAGCTCTGAGCACGGCTGGGCCCCGCACCCCCAATCAATCACTTACACAAGCACTAAACTTTTAAATAGGAGGGCCCTGGTGCTGAAGCAATAGCACAGTGGGTAGGGTGTTTGCCTTGCATGCAGCCGTCCCGGGTTCAATTCCCAGCATGCCATAGGGTCCCCTGAGCACCGCATGGGGTAATTCCTGAGTGCAGAGCCAGGAGTAACCCCTGTGCATCGCTGGGTGTGACCCAAAAAGCAAAAAATAAATAAATAAATAAATAAATAAATAGGAGGGCCCTATTTAAAAAAAAAAAAAAGCCGATGAGAGAGAATGAATGAAGGGGCTGGAAAGGTCGTGGAGTGGGGACGGTGCTTGCTTGCACTTGGCCGACCAGGTTCAATCCCCGGCACCACATACGGTTCCCCACATATGATCAGGGGTGAGCCCTGAGCACCACCAGGTGTGGCCCCAAAACGGGGTGGGTGGAGCAATAGTAGAGGATAGCGTGTTTGCCAGCACACGGACAATCTGGGTTTGATACCAGGCATCCCATACGGTTCCCTGGGCACCACCAGGAGGAACTGCTGGGCATCACCAGGTGTGGCGCCTCTCTCTCTCATACACACACACACACACACACACACACACACACACACACACACCCCAACCCAAGGAGTGAAAATACACAGCCGGGATGCCCCGGAGTTCCTCCATCCTTGAAGGGGGCACCTCTATGGGCAGAGGCTGAGGTTGTGCAGTGCCCCGGCCACTCTTTGGGGACACAGACCTCTGTCAGTGACACACCCTCCCCCACACTGGCTGGGCCCACAGTGGTCAGGGCATGTTCATGGAAAAGGGGCGCTGGGTTGGTGGCAGGACCACATGGTGCCAGGGAAACTGAGGAGGGTCTGAGGCTGAGGGAGGGGAAAGCCACAGTGGACAGGAGGGGCAAGGAGGGACGGTCCAGGGTCCAGTGGCCTGTCTGGTGGAGTTGGGAGCTGAAACAGAGGGGAGGGGACACAGTGCCCACCCAAAGTGATTCTGGTGTGGGGTCACATCACTGCCAGTGCAAACTGCACATATGAGATTAAGACTCAGCACTCAGGAGGGTTACAGGGTGACGGAGACCAGCACCCAGCAAGGTTACAGGGTAACTGAGACCCAGCCCCCAGGTGGGTTACGGGGTGACTGAGAACCAGTACCGAGGTGAGTACCACCAGGTGTGGCCCCAAAACGGGGTGGGTGGAGCAACAGTAGAGGGTAGCGTGAGGTACAATAGTACAGGGTAACTGAGACCCAATACCCAGGCAGGTTATAGAGTGCCGGAGACCAGCACCCAGCAGGGTTACAGGGTGACGGAGACCCAGCACCCAGGTGGGTTATGGGGTGACTGAGAACCAGTACCCAGGTGGGTTACAGGGTGACTGAGACCCAACACCCAGCAGGGTTACAGGGGTGAGACCAAGGGCCATTGGCCCTGGCCCAGTGGCATGAAGCTGAGCCCATATTCGTGGAGACCTCTGTGCCCTGTTGGCAGAACCCTCTTCTCCCCGGAGAACACTGGGGCCCCCCGCCCCCCGTGGAGCTGACACCGTCCACCGCCACTGCCAGCGTCCCCGGAGGTCGCACCCTGCGCTCTGGAGACAAGCCCAGCTTTCTCCCCCTCCTCGCCCGCCTCCCGCCCGCTCCTGCCTCTGCGTGGGGCTGTGGGGCGATGGGGGGCAGCAGGGGCCACTCCACCCCGCCCACCGACGGGTCAGCTTGGGGTGAGGAGGAGAACACGCTTGTGCCTCTCGCTGCAGCCCGCGCCGCCTGAGCCGGCTAAGGAAGGGGCAGAGGGACAGGGGGGGGGGTGTCGCCAGACTTCACTCCCCAGACGCATCCAGAGAGAGATCCGGGCATCGAGAAGGGCAGCAGGGCAGGACGGGGCTGGGGGGTGGGGGAGGGGAGGGGGCCGCAGCTCCCAGCTCAGCAGGGCAACACCCCGCCAACCACCGCAAACACCCGCTTCCTGGCAAGGCGTTATTCGGGACCAGGCTGCACGGGAACACAGCTCTGGAGTCGGTGAGAGAGGCCTGAGGAGGGGAGGGCGGGTGGGCGAGAGGGTCTGTGGGGAGGGCGGGTGGGCGGGTGGGTGAGAGGATCTGAGGAGGGAGGGCAGGTGGGAGAGAGGGTGAGGAGGGGAGGGCGGAGAGGTGAGAAGGTCTGAGGAGGGGAGGGCTCGAGGGGGTGAGAGGGTCTGAGGAGGGGAGCGCTCGGGTGGAAGAGAGGGTCTGAGGAGAGGGGAGGGCGGGTGGGAGTGAGGGTCTGAGGGGGGCGGGTGGGAGTGAGGGTCTGAGGGGAGGGCCTGGGTGTGAGAGGGTCCGAGGAGGGGAGCGCTGGGGAGGAAGAGAGGGTCTGAGGGGAGGACGGGTGGGTGGGTGAGAGGATCTGAGGAGGGAGGGCAGGTAGGAGAGAGGGTGAGGGCTCCAGTGGGAGAGAGGGTCTGAGGAGGGGAAGGCTCGAGGGGGTGAGCGGGTCTGAGGAGAGGAGCTGGGGGGGGGGGGGGGGGGCGAGAGGGTCCGAGGAGGGGCGCGCTCGGGAGGGAGAGAGGCGCGCCTGACAGACAGCCCGAGCCCCGAGTCCCCGTCAGGCCCGCTGAGGCGTCTCCCGCCTCTGGCCTCCCTTTTCCAGCTTCCTCAGACCCATCTCTGAAAAGGGCTCGTGACTCAAAGTGGCGGGACCCAGAGTGCTCCGTCGGGCCCCAGGTCACGCTGAGGGGGGTCCGGGCGGGGGTCCTACCCGCCCCGCCTGTCCCAGGGCGGCTCGGGGTGTCCCCGCGGGCGCGGGCGCGGCAGCCAGAGGCCGTGGCGGGGGGCACCGCGGCCGCCCGGCCCCTCGTCCACACCCCACGGCCCCCGGCGGCCACGTCCGTGAAGGGCCCTCGCGGCCCTCCCCGGCTTACCTAGGGCCGAGCCCGGGCAACCTCCGGCTTCCGGAGCGCGCAGGGGCCACTTCCGGGAAGGTCAATGCGGCGCCGCCTCCGCCTCCGCCTCCAACCTGCGCCTCCACCTAGCGCGCAGGCGCGCGCCCGCCGACTTCCGCCCGGTGACCGAGTGCGCAGGCGCCCGCCTGAACCGGAAGTGGCGGGTAGGACCGCCTCCCCGGCCGGAAGTGGCGCTGCTCCGGGCTCCTTGGACCCCTGCGGTGCAGTGGCACGGTGCTCTGGCGTTGACCTGTGCAGCGTTGGGCTTGTCGAACCGGAAATGGATTCTCCAACACCGAAGGGGCAAGGCAGGCCAGTCTGGGGCTTGCTTGGATTATGTGACAGCTCTCAGGAAGCCAGCAAGCTCTCCGCTCCGATTGGACCAGGACAGAACTGATGTAGGCAGGTAGACAGGGAAGGCCCCCTCCCAAGGCAGCGGCCAAGGCCAGCCCTGCAGAAAAGAGGAAAAAAGGAACCGAGGCCTGATAGGACCCTCACCTATCTACAGCAACAGACCCAGAGAAGCTCCTGCAGGAACAAAAGGCCAGGAAAGGAATTTCAAAGAAGACCATCACCATTCCCAACCCCCCTGGTAACCTCCTTAGCAACGGACTTTTATCTCAGTAGACGCCCACGTGGGGGCAGGTTGGAGAAACCCTATAAAGGCCACCTTAACCAAAGAAGGACGTGCATATGCTGGCCGAGCCAATGTGCTGCTTTGCCCACTTGGCCAAGCACTGTGTCGCCAGCATCTCCCCTCTTGAGATGTGGACTTCCATGCTTTCGTGTCTAATGCTAGCATGTGTGTAGGGGCTCTCTCTGCCCTTGGAGAAGCCAGTGTTCTCTCTTGAGTGCGTTCCTTTCTCTCTCACTCTCCCCCCTCCACACCTTAAAAACCCTCCAAATGAAATCTATTTATTTCACTGCTTGTCTACTCCTGAAATTCCTTTCTGCGAGGCGAGACAGGAACCCAGTAACCCTGGGTCCTGGATGGCGGAGGCGGATGGAGAGAAAGTGACCATCTTTCTCCTCCCCGCTTCACGTAAGTCATCATAAGTCATCTGTAGGGCCCACCGACATCAGAACCTTAGAAATACCTTAGTTCTGATAAGGAACCCAGCCCCCCGACTGCAAGGATCTGGCCAGTGGTGACAGAGCAATGGAACCCCCCTCCTCACCTAATTTCTCACTTGTCCCCCCAATAAAGTGTCTCTGGCAATCCAGTGTCTTATATGCATATGATGCATGACCATGTCTGGCCATCGTGTGCCCTTAAACTACACGTGCACAATCACACATGAATATGCATAACGTTCCCCTGGAAAACTCGTAAGTATGCATAGACAGGTAGCAAGGTCCTAATTTCCCACTGCATGAAACCCACCTGTACCCTTTCTGAAGCTTGATCTACAGTCCGGACTAGCCAGACTCACTTCTCAGTTTTTATTTTATTTTATTTATTTATTTATTTTGCTTTTTGGGTAACACCCGGCGATTCTCAGAGGTCACTCCTGGCTCTGCGCTCAGGAATTACCCCTGGCGGTGCTCAGGGGACCCTATGGGATGCTGGGAATTGAACCCCGGTCGGCCGCGTGCAAGGCAAACGCCCTACCCGCTGTGCTATCGCTCCAGCCCCATCACTTCCCAGTCTTTGCTTTGCTGTCTTGACACTAAAGCCTTTCATTAGACACAACTGTTCCTGTGCTTCCAGGTGGCGCAGAAGCCACTTTCCATGGCTAAAACTCCTGCTGTCCAGGGATGCCCTGGGGAGATACAGGAGTGGCTGAACTGACTTCGTCTTGCTGAACTTCTGACCTTTAAAAGCTATGTGCCGACTGGCCCAAACTGGTTCTCCACTTACACAGACTCCTCTCTGAGCTGCACACATTTTTTTTTTCCCTCTCTCTCCCTACTAACCAAGGCCAATTTGGCTAACAGCCCGTGCACTTAAGGCCATGTAATCTATAACCAATCCTCATTCTTGGTAAACAGTTTTGCAATCCTAGCTTTCTCCCTCTCGTCTACGTGTCTGTAAAATGTCCTTGCACGGATCCCACTGGAACACAACTGCTACCCCCCAAACCTGTGCTGTCTGACTTGCAAATCTCTGATACTCTTCCCGGCTGGAAGAGCCTCACAGTCCTGTTGTCTCGTTGGTATCTTCTCCACAGACAGTGCGTGAAGAATGTGTGGCAGCTGGAAGCCAGCTGGTGAGTGTGGAATTGTTTCTAAGTCCAGGAAAATGCAGACTGACACTGACAGGCACGCTCAGTTCTCCCCTCTACAAAGAACATAGCTAGTGACAACGTGGCTGACCGGACTTTGACCCCAGCACCCATATGGTTCCCCCAGCTCCGCCAAGTGTGATCCCTGAGTTGCAGAGCCAGGACTAAGCCCTGAGCACTCTCAGATGTGCTCCCCCCCCCACACACACACACAAGCTAGTGCTGGGGGTTCTGCAATCACTTTAACTTGCTCCTTGGTTATAAGTGGTGTGAAGGATTTTTCGTGTTTAAACGTCATTGCTATTCTTTGATGAGTTGATTTTGTCCTCTGCTTACGTGTGTGTGTGTGTGTGTGTGTGTGTGTGTGTGTGTGTGTTTTGTTTGGTTTCCTGTGCGCTTCAGAATCAGGGTGTCTATCCTAGAGCCTTCTCATCCCAAAAGCGCTCTGAGAAGATGCTCCGTTTACATATAGCCTGGGGACACACGTAGCATCGCCATACTGGATGGAGCAGTATCAGGGTCCCTTACTGTAAAACAGGCAGGGTGTTGAACAGTGTCCTCCACACCGAGGGTCAGAGTCGGGCAGGCGGGGGAGGAAGTACTAGGCTGGCCCCTAACCGATTTCCGGCACCACCTCCCCAGCCTCCCTGTCCCCCATGGCTGTAACTCAGCCTTTTTGGATGCTTTGCGGCCACTCCTGGCTGTGCTCAAGGCTTATGCCTGACTCTCCACTCAGGGAACCATAGGGGCTGCTGGGGATGGAACCGGGATCGTCCCCACGCAAGGCAAATGCCCTACCCCCGTAATCTCTCTGACCCCAAGGAGCACAGATTCTTTGGGTTGTTTTTTTTTTAGAAGGGGGGGGCATATCCTGTAGTGCTCAGGACTTAGTCCTGGCTCTGCACTCAGGGATCACTCCTGGTGGACCATGTGAGATTACTCTGCCCTCTGGGATCACTTCCAGAGGACCATATGCAGTGCCAGGGATCAAATTTGTGTCAGCCGCCTGTGCGAGGCAAATGCTCTTCCTATGGTCCTATCGCTCAGGCCCAGGGCAGAGATTCATCTGTGTGCGCCAAGGGAGACTCACTCACATTCAGAAGGGCTGGAGGCGTGTCTGGTTGTCACAGCAGGAACAGAATGGGGTCTCCCCGGGTCTCGGGGGTGAGGCAGAGGGCCTGCTCAGCGTCCTCCAACGCACAGGAATGTACCCCTTCTTTAAGTCCACCCAAGAGTTGTCCTGTCCAAACCGTGCTAATACCAGAAAGGAAACACATCCTAAAGGGTCCCCATGCAGTAGGGGATGGGGAAGTTTGAACAACTCCAGGAATCTCCACTTTTCCTCCCTCTCCTTCTTCCCTTCTTCCCTTCTCTCTCTCCCTCCCTTCCTCTTTCCCTCCCTCCCTTCCTCCTTCCCTCCCTACATCCCTCCATCCCTCCTTCCCTCCCTTCCTCTCTATCCCTCCCTCCCTCCCTCCCTTCCTTCCTTCCTTCCTTCCTTCATTCATTCCTCCCTTCATCCCTCCTTCCCTTCCTCCTTCTCTCCCTCTCTCCCTTCCTTCCTTCCTTTCTTCATTCCTTCATTCCTCCCTCCTTCCCTTCCTATCTCCCTTCCTCCTACCTTCCTCCCTCCCTTCTTCCCTCCTTTCCTTCCTTTCTTCTTCCTTCCTTGCTTTTCCTTTATTCTTTCTTCCTCTTTTTTTTTCTCTCTCTCTCCCCCTTTCTCTTCCTTTCCCACACCTAGTCATGCTTCGGACTTATTTCTGTTTCCCTGCACCTGACAATGCTCGGGAGAGCACATGCAGTGTTGAGGGTCAAACCCAGGTCAGCCTTGTACATGGTAAGTGCCTTACCCATCACACGCTCTCCAGCCCGGAATCTGCATTTCCAACCATTCCAGATCATTCCTGTTGGGGGATGGGGGGAATGGCATTCTGCCCTGAGAAAAGCCACTTTGTGCTCCCCGGAACTGGGTCAGAACCACAGGGGATCTGAGGCGACGCCCAACAGGCTGAGCATCGCTTGACACGCAGGAGGCCCAGTTTGGTCCCTGTACCCTATGGACACTGTTGGAGTGAGCACCCAGTTGGGAGTAGCCCCTGAGCACCACTAGGAGAGTCAAAGACAAACACTAAAGTCCCAGCTAGCTGGGGCTCCTCTTGGTGGCGTGTGACGCAGGTTTCTGCAGTCTCTGAGTGGCTCTGGGGGTCCACGTGGAGAAGAGACGGCAGCCGTCTGCCTTCCTTCCGGGTTCCAAATGCAGAGAAACCTGAGGCCTGGTCTTCCCCAGGCGCACGGTGGGGGCCACCAGAAGCCAGAGACAGCCCCGTGCCTTTGTCGCTAATGCCCTGCGGTTTTCAGAGCACCCGGACTCTATCGGGCCTGGCCGTAGAGTCGCCCTGTGGCCAGCAGGACCCTCGGTGTGTGTGGACAGCCACGCCAGCAGGTCCCTTATCTGGGCCGAGGTGCCCGTTTTTTGTTTTTTTTTTGGGGGGGGGTTGCTTTTTGGGTCATATCTGGCGATGCACAGAGGTTACTCCTGGTTTATGCACTCAGGAATTACTCCTGGCGGTGCTCGGGGACCATACGGGATGCTGGGAATCGAACCCCGGTTGGCGGTGTGTAAGGCAAACGCCCACCCCGCTGTGCTATTGCTCCAGCCCCAGAGGTGCCCGTTATCTGAGACCTAGAGGCGGGATGCAGGGCCCCGGGTCCTGGCCTTTGCAAACCGTTCAGTGAGCACCAGCCGTAGTCGGCGGACGGCGGGTCCGTAGAGTCGTTTCTTGGAGACCCCAGAACCATGGGTCCCGGCTCCCACAAATGCCACACTGGGGCCGCCGAGCTGGCCACGCGCGCCAAAGGGTGTGAGCGCCGATGTGCGCGCCGGCACTGCCGCCTGCTGGCCACGGCTGGGAGCGCGGCTCCCGGGGCCGCCCGTCCTGCGGGGCCACCCGGCTGCCCGCCAGTCTCCGGTGGCCGCCACTGGGCCACCGGCAAGGGCGTCCCTGTCCGTCTCCGGGGACCTTCCGCTGCATGCAGCCTCTCTGGCAGTCCGTTGGACGCGGACAGCCACCTCTGTGCATCACACAGGGGGCGGGAGGCTGGGGAGACCCCACCCACCCTGCCACCCCACCCCCCAGACTGTGAACCTGCCTTCTGCCAAAGCCCTGGACTGTCCCCAGACGTGACGGTCTGTTGTGGATGACCCAGAGCTGGAGCTGCCCAGGCCCTGATTGTGGATTGTGGCCCGTCCACCACCCTTTGAGATCAGTCCGTCCACTTCCCTTTGAAATCAGTATTTCCCAGCCCGGACCCCACAGCACTGCTCCTGAGAGGGGACAGTGTCCCCCGAGCACTGAGTCCTGAGTCCTGGGGGGCGGGCGGGACGCAGCTGTGACACCGACCCAGGCAATCCTATGACAACGAGTGCCTCCTCCATCCCCTCCGCTTCCCTCCTGTGACCCGCTGAGGGGCTCACTGCCTGCTGGAGGACCCTGGGCACCCTCGAACTGGGGGCTCACATGGGGGCTGCAGTGTGCCTGGACTGCACCTGCGGCTCTGGGGGCTCTGAGGGCAGAACGGGGGTCACCCCGGGGAGGTAGTGGTGCAGGGTGAGCTCTCGCTCAGGCTCGCACGGCATTTGCCGACCTTCACACACTGGCTCTTCTCCCTGGACCTGGCGGACCATGGTCCAGTCGCCAGGGATGCACCCCTGGGCTCAGGGACACTCTCCCACGCTCCCACCTCCTGCTCAGTGCCCGAGGGGTGGGCGGGATCTCCTTACTTGCCCACCTGTGACAGCGGGTGGTCCCCAAATTCTGAGCTGAGGCCCTCAGCATCTCTACCCCATCCCAGGAGGAACAAGACCTCGGAGACCCTCGTTATTTTACAACTCTCCAGGCCAGCTCTGCCTGGGACCTCCTGCCCCCCACCTCCCAGGCGCCCCCAGCTCTGAGATGTGGGAGGGGTGACCAGGCTCCTCCTTGCGCCACAACCAACAGGGTATGAGTGGGCTCTGGTTTCTCCTCTCTGCTCCCCTCCTGGGGGGCCTTGAAACAGCCGCATCCCAGAGAGATCATTCTGGAAATCCAAAGAGGGTCTGACTTCCCACAGCCCCTTGGGCCAATTCAGGGTCCCCTCCACAACCTCCAGGCCCTCAGGGGTGCCCCCATCTCTGCCTTGGCAGGGGTCGCATGCTCTGTCCCAGAGCAGGCCAGGCCGTGCCTCTTAGACAGGTTACCCTGGCTGGCTCAGGAATGAGGCAGATGCTGGGGGCCGAAGTGATAGTATAGTGGGTAGGGCATTTGCCCGGGATGTGGCTGATCCGGGTTCGATCCCTGGCATCCCAGATGGTCCCCCGAGCATCGCCAGGAATGATTCATAAGTGCAGAGCCAGGAGTAACCCCTGAGCATCGCTGCTGAGTGTGACCCCAAAAAGCCAAAAAAAAAAAAAAAAGGAATAAGGCAGATGCAGACGCTGGAAACCTGCTTTATTGTGGGTAGCAGCCGTGAGAGTGGACACGCCCATCTTCCTCCTACTCTGGGCAACCCTGGGACGGCAGGTCGGGGGGCAGCTCTGTGCCCAGCTCCATAGGCACTGCTGGGACCCCACCCCCCACCCCATCACCCGCCTTGGGTGGGACGGGGCAGCCGTCAACAGATCTGGGCTCAGCACCCACGTGTCACCACACAGCAATTCCCACTGGACAGGACAGCCCACCCCACACCCCCCAGGAGGGCCTCAGAGGGTAGGATGGGGTGGAAGAGGGGGGAGTTGGAGTTTCGGGACTGTGCAACAGGTGAAGGGCAGGACCAAGGGAGTCTGGCCGGACCCTTCGCATCCCACCCCCACCCCCAAAGAGTCCTGAAATGGGGAAGGGGTGAGGTACCCATCAGATAAGCATCGTCAGCTGGGCAGGGGGCCACCTGGACGAAGTGACCCTGGGCTCTCAGGCTCCTGGGCAGGCATGGCCATGAGCTGGGCACCCCGGGCTGCCCTGGGCTCAGCCGCTTCCTCACGCACAGCACTGACCCCCGGCACCCCCATCTCCCAAGAGACTTGGCACCAGGGGTCCTTGCATGGGCAGTGAGGGGCCCCGTTACCAGCTCCTCGGTCCCCAGGCCCCAGGACAGGCTGTTCAGGCTCCTGCATGCTCAAGACGGGGGCTGGCAAAGGGGGGCTAGTCCACGGGGGCGGAACTGGTGTTCCAGAAGCTCCCAGAGCAAACCAGGACAGGTGCAGCCCGGGGCCCCACAACTGGCCCTCAGGGCGGCCGCCTGCATCAGAGTGATGGGAGACCCAAGAAGCCAGGCTGGGCTAGGGTGCGGCTTCTGGGGGGGGTCACATGACAGGCGTGGGCAGCACCAACAGTGACCCCTGGCTCAGAGCCTCCCAGGAGACAGCTCAGGGCTGGACAGGACTGGGGGCCACACATCCCCTGCCCCAGCCACGGCGGCGAGATGGTCTGGGGAAGGGGGAACCTGGGGGGGGGGGGGCACAGAGGGGCGAGGACCAGCTGCAGGGGTGACCAGGACATCAGGGACAGTGGCGGCCGGACTGTCAGCGTGGGCACCTGAGAAGCACATCATGGGAGACGGTCAGTTTCTGACGGAGGGGACCCTCCTCGCCACCTCCTTCCCAGGGAGCCCTCCTGGGTCCTGCCTCTGTGCCCGAGGGGGCATCTCCCACTGCTGCCCCCTCCCGTCCCAGGGAAGGCTTTGCACCCCCCGTGCCCCCAGGACCCTGCACACTGCACATGGGGCTTGGGGAAGGCCTCACTTGCCCTCCTGGCCAGCAAGTGCTCTGTTTAGTGGGTGTCTGAATCCCGAGGCCGGGGGTGGCTGAGCCCACCTGCTCCCCGCTGTGGGCCCCCCAGTACCTGGCCAAGGCGGCGGTCACTCCCACAGGAAGCGCACGTACCAGATGGTCTCGTTCTTCAGCTGCGGCCCAAACAGGGGGTTCAGCTGGGCCAGGATAGTAATGAGCCAGCTGTGGGGTGAAGCCACGTGAGCCACAGAGGGGCAGACAGACAGAGAGACAGATAGACAGACAGACAGAGGCTTCTTCTGCTTTCTGCCAGCGGCCCACATCACCCCCCCTATCTGTGGTTTGCTGTGCAGGGTCCTGGGGCAGCTGGCCTAAGGGGGCTGCAGGGGTGTGTGTCTTGAGCTTTGCTATCCTCTAATGGGAGATTATAAGACCCCCGAGTTGGGGCAGGTCCCTGAGAGCCACCTTATGTGCCCGCAGACAGCGCTGGCCTGAGGGGGCACCCAGGAATCACCCCCTTTAGAAGATGAAGGAACGACAGAGGCATGAGGGCTGACGGGTAAGAGCCCGTATCTGGCCACACAGGGCACCCGCGGACCCTGGGCAGCAAGTTGTCCAGACCCTGGCCACTGTGGGGGGAGGGGCTGGGCGGTCATTAGGGCTGGGTTCCCCCCCCCCCCCACCCCAGGGCAGCCGCCCCAGACTCTGGAGGGGCATGGGGCATGACTTCCGGTGTCTCCAGTGCTGGCCCCAGCAGTAGCCAGCCTGGCTTGGCAGGAAGGACAGGTGGCCTCCAGGACCTTCCTGCCCGCACCCAGTCAGCAGGGTTCTGTACTGCAGGCAGACTGCTAGGGCACTGTATGCTCTTCAGGGGTGTGTGTGTGTGTGTGTGTGTGTGTGTGTGTGTGTGTGTGCGCGCCTACTTTCCCTTTCCGGGTGCAGATCTGCTCCGTGGAGCAGTGCCCACTCCTGCATGCCCATGTCCCCACCATCCTCCTCTCTGCACCGAGCGCCTCTGAGTCCCTGCCCAGGAGAGGTGAGAAACAACAGGGCGGGGTGTTTAGAGAGAAGCTTCCCGCCCGAGCCGGAACAACCGTCTGTCTTCTGACCACCGAAGACTCGTCATGATGGTCACCCAGTTGTTCTTTCTACCAGCCGGACAGGAGGCACAGTGAGGACCAGAGGTGGGGCTCGAGGACTTACAAGAGGTAGCAGCAGACAGCCGTGGCCACGAGCATGGTGATGATCACTCTGCAACAGAGGGGGGTCAGGCCAGGGGTCAGGCCAGGCCCATGGAGCCCGACCCCTGCAGAGCCTGGCCAGGGCCACAGAGACCTCCAGGGGTCACCCCGCTTCCCGCTGGCCTGAACTGAGTTCTACTCAGCGAAGGGCTGCAAGCAGACAATGAAAACTGCCACCGCCTGCTGGGACTGGCCACATCAAATTCCGCTCCACGTCCTGCCCTGTCCCTCCCCTCTTTCACCCCACAATTCCTTCATCTCTGAGCAGGCCTGCTGGGGAAAGACACACAGCCCTGCAGGGTCAGGGCTGGTCCCTGGAGGTGGGAATTCCCAGGCCCGGAGAGGGTGAACAGCGGAGCTGGAGGGCGAGAGGGACCGGCTACTCTCCGCTCACAGGGAAAACCCCCAGTCACAAGCAGCACAGCGGGGCCTGGAAGAGAAGGTCCCTGTGAGCAAGCGGCCAGGGCCACCCTGAGGCCCACAGAGCTCAAAATCCCCGCTGCTGGCTAATCTAACCCTCTCCGCTGTGTCCTGCCTGGAGGAATTTGTGTTCCTGGGGATCGGTAATGCAAAGCAGAAAAGGGGGGGGGGGGGGGATGGAGCAGGGGAATGTTGTAAGGGGGCTTCCCAAACCAGCACGACCAGCAAAAAAACGGAAACGGATCCAGCAGGCATCCTCACAGCAGCCTCTGGGGCTTGGCTCGCCTAGGGAGAAACTGAGGCCTGTCATTCGCTCAAGGTCACTGCTGACGGCAGTGACCGATGCTGGGGCGCCCCCCTGCCCACCCACCACCCTGGGCTTCCCGCCGGCGATGCCGCGGGGCTCCCGGACCCGTGACCTGCGCCGAGAGTGGGGCGCCCGGGAGCCGCGGTGCGGGGATGCCAGGGGGACGGCGCCGCGCGCCCCTTACCCGCGGTTGGGGCCTTTCGGGACGAACCAGGGCCCGGCGATGCCGATGAGGCCCCAGAACGTCGTGAAGATGATGACCGGGAGAGCGAAGGAGTGCGCCGTCATGGTCAAGCCGGGGGCTGCAAGGGCCGCCGGGGTGCCGCGGGGAAGGCCGGGCAGTGGGCGCCGAGCGACGCGCAGGTCTGAGCGGAGGATGCTCCGGAGGCACCGGGCACGCGCAGCTGCACCGAGCGGCGGATGCTCCGGGGACACTGGGCACGCGCAGGTGTAAGCCGCGGATGCTCCGGGAGGCACTGGGCACGCGCAGATCTGAGTCGTGGATGCTCCGGGGGCACCGGGCACGCGCAGCTGCACCGAGCGGCGGATGCTCTGGGGACACTGGGCACGCGCAGGTGTAAGCCGCGCCGGGCACGCGCAGATCTGAGCGGCGGATGCTCCGGGGCCGGGCACGCGCAGGTCTGAGCAGCGGATGCCCCGAGAGGCACCGGGCACGCGCAGATGCACCCGGCGGCTAATGCTCGGGGGCACTGGGCACGCGCAGCTGCAACCAGCGGGCTCCTGATGCCCGGGGTTTCTCGGGTCCAGCTTTGGGCAAAGAGCATGCGCGGTAGGGCTGAAAACGGAGGCGCGCGCCGGGCGGGCCAGATGCGCAGGCGTGGGGTCGGGGTGGTTGGGGGCATGAGCTACAATTAGCTCCCATCCGCCTCTCCGGGATTTAAGTTCGGATACGGAGGATACGGAGGACAGACGCCTGTGTGCCAATAAGCTGCTTCATTCGGGCCGCAAAGGGCTGAGAGCCCCGTCTGGCCCATCTGGCCCGTTGAAGTTCAGTTGTGCATCTTTTTTTTTTTTTTTTTTTTTGCTTTTTGGGTCATGCCCGGCAATGCACAGGGGTTATTCCTGGCTCTGCGCTCAGGAATTACCCCTGGCGGTGCTCAGGGGATCATATGGAATGCTGGGAAACGAACTCAGGTCGGCCGCGTGCAAGGCAAACGCCCTACCTGCCCTATCCGCTCCAGCCCCTCATTTGTGCATCTTTGAAACTGGAGGTGAGGTCTTCCTGGAGCCAGTCCCCCGGGTGCCCTTAACCCTTAGACACCCACACTGAGGAACGCTGTTCTGGAAACAGACCCCTTGGAGCACCACCTGGCCGGAGAGAAGCAGGGGCCGCAGTGGCCACCCTGCGCTGTAGTGGACCATTTGTCTAAACGTAATTTTAAACAACACGGAAGTGTCTTCCCCGACTCCGGGCCCTTGCCCTGGACAGCAAGAGCCTTCTGCCTCCGACCTTGTGGGTCACAGAGACCCTCCTTGACCGTTCCTGTGATGCCCAGTGCCAACAGACAGAGCTCTGCATTCTCCCGAGAATGTTTTGGTTTTGTTTTGGTTTTGGCTTTTTGGGCCACACCCCGCAGTGCTCAGGGGTCACTCCTGGCTCTGTACTCATCCTGGTTGTGCTGGGGGACCATATGGGGGGACCATATGGAGTGCCGGGGATTGAGCCCAGTTGGCTGCATGCAAGGCAAATGTCCTTGCTGTACTAGTGCTCTGGCCCATAGGTGGTGATTTCTAAAGATAAGACAGGCCCCCTGGGGTTATGGATTTTTACACCACACACACAATTAGGCTGTAGATTCCTATCTGAGGTATGAGACTACTGCTCTCTGCACCTACGTGTGGGGCTTTTATAAACCATTCATTCCAAAGACATCTTCTGATGTCGTTTTTTTTTGCTGCTAAATGCCCAGAGATGCCCCTGTGTTTAGCTGGGGCCGCAGCAGAGCCAAGCCAACCAACCTATAAATGTGTGATACTCGTAGACAGTGTTGAGGACTGGCAAGGAAATAAACAGGCTCACGAGAGTGATGGGAACAAGCCTTTGACCACCATCATTATTCTGCCAGTGACAGGCGAGAGACTCACTCCCAATCCCATGGACCAAGGATGCCTTTACTTAATAAACATCCCAGTCACCCCAAACGAAGACCTGATGGTCGCACATGCCTGTGTCCCAGTTTGGAGCCTTTCACCGGTCCTTCACAGCCCTTCCCTTCACCTGTACCTTCCATGAGTCATTAAGCGTCCAAGCTCAAGGCCTCAGACACTGATGCTCTCTTTCCAATTGGGCGGGTGTGCTTCCCCTTCAGGTGAGGAAACCAGGGCACCTGGGAAGGCGAGCATCCCTTTCTGAGATAGTCTATTCTGCGATCAGGATGCAGGCGTGGTACTGCCATCCCCAATGTTCCCGGGTAACAGTTGTACTTGAAAAAGGACAGCAAAGTTCCCCCTACACACACACCTCCCCAAGTGTTTGCCCCTCTCTCCTCCCACTGGCCTAAGATGGAACAGAGTAGTGGGCAGTGACCCCAAATCACTCCCCCCAGTGTAGTGGTGCAGAACCCTTCTTCCTCACTCATTTTCCTCCCCAACCCCCAAACTCAGAGTCAGTGTAAACTAATGGGGGCGTGCAGAAGCCAGGGTACCTAGATCCCCGCCTGGGTGGTTCTTTGGATCAAATTTGTAGACTAATTTCTGCAGTTGTTTCCACTGGGGGGAAGGTGGGGGGACAAGAGGAGCCTAGTGTCCAGACACGACTACTGTGTCCAAGCCGGGCTTGCGCTGGTCTCTGCGGACACCGCCTGGCCGCCTCACTGTCCCTCCAGGCTCGGTCTTCTCGGGGGCTCCAGCCCAAAGCCTGACGCCGACTCAAGATGCTCCGAGCCGCCCTCCAAGCCAGCACGGGGCGGGTCACCCGGGGACGAGTGACCCCCAGGCCTGCGTCCCCGGTTCCCTGGACTCCAAGGGCTCCGCTTACGGCAGCTCACTCGGGACTGGCCCGAGCATGACCCCCCGCTCCCTCCTTGGGGTCCCGGAGCGGGAGGCGGGAGGATGCCAGAGAGCGGCCACGGAGAGCGGCCGCGAGGACCAGTGTCGCACCGGGAGACTCGCTTTACGGCAGCCGGCGGGGCCCTGCCGCAGGGCATCGCGGGAAATGTAGTCCAGCCTCGGCCCGAACCTCTCCAAGCTGCTATTGGCTCCCGGAATTCGAGGTCCTAATTGGAAGCGTTGGTTACTAGGTAACGTCCCCCACGATGCTCTCCCACATCCCGCGGTCAAGGAAAAGCTCTCGGATTGGGCTTTGGCTTGCTCTGTTCTTAGTTCCCTCACATATCTCGGAACGGTGCCAGTCTCGAAGGTTCTCGACTTTATTTAAGCAAGGAGGGCGCTATCTTACATTCGCTTAGAAAGTATCATTGGTGGCCTGCACGTGCCCGGAATTGCACAAGACTAAAGAACGCACAAGTTGAATTAAACAAAAATCATACCTTCGGTCTTTTATACATGTACCACGTAGCCAACACCTATATCAGATATGAGAAGTTCTCAGCAATACGGCACCATGCTGTCCTGTGACCGTCTCAGAATGGACAGAGGAAAAACTACATAAAAATGTCTATAAAAGAAGAAGCTTCAGGGTCATTGGGAAGGGAGGCCTGGAGCGCTCTGAGGCGAGAACAATGTTCTAAGCAGAGCGGTAGTGGCCCAGGGTGGTTTTGTATTTATCCATAAATACTATATAATTGTACAATTATGTCCATCATGTGTATTTTGTGTGTGCTTTAAGTCACAATTCTAAGTCTTTAATAGAAAAACAAAGCAGAGTAGAGCTGGGAAGATAGCTCAGTGATCAGACACATACTTTCCATGCACCAGACCTGGGTTGAACCCCAGCACCATCTACCCCCCGCCCCATGCCCCAGAACAACTGGCCCTAGTGGTCCCAAGCATGGCAGGGCCTGAGGATGTTCTGAACCACTGGGCTCCGTTGGTTAATGTCATTGAGAGTGGCCTGCTGGGTCCCCTAAGTTTTGCTTAGGAGACCACCCACCAAAAACTCTAAAATAATAAAATATTTTATATCTCTTCCATTTGTGTATTTGGAATAAAATATTTTGTATTTGGAAGAGGAACGAGCGAGAACACTGAGAAGCGGTGTGGGGGGATACACTCTGGGGAGGATCACTGAAGGGGCTGTGTACTGGTCTCACCCCTTGTCCCCCAGACCAGCCCCAGCTTCGCTTCCTTGCCCAGGCGTTGCCCAGGTCCTGTCCCTGTGGGCGGGGTCCACGGAACAAGCAGAGCCGACCGGGCCCGGCCCGGCCCCGCCCACATTCAGCCCAAGCCCCGCCCCACCCTAGCCTTGAAGATCCGCAGCTGCTGGCTAGGTGTCTTGCGGCCGACCCGACTGGGCAGCCACTGCCGTCGCACTGTCCGGCAGGTGATGGTCCTAGGCAAGAGGGGGCCGCTGAGCTAGGGAGGGGCCCGAGGGATTTGGCCCAAACCAAAGATTTTCCCTCTCTGGCCTTTCCTAGCCAATCCTGGAGCTCAGGAGGCCAGGTCCTCTCCCAGCAGGGCAGCTGGCGGGGCAAGGGAAGGGAAACCCGACTGCCCTAGAAGGTCCCACCTGACTGAGTGCCCATCAACTTGCAGGTTCAACCAATACTTTTAAAACGCCATGGGGATGGGCCTGAGCTGCAGGCACTGGCCCTGCACGAGGCCTTAGGGTTCCGTCCCCAGCATCCCATATGGTCCCCCAACCACGCTGGGAGGGATCCCTGAGCACAGAGCCAGGAGTAACCCCTGAGCATCGTCCAGTGCAGCTCTAAAGCCAAAAATAAAATAAAATGAAATGCCATGGTTGGTGGGGTAAGAGAAAGTACCTGCTTGCCTTCTAACTGGCCACCCTGGGTTGGATCCCCGGCATCACATATGGTCCCGGGATCCCAGTCAGGAGTGATTCCTGAGCTCAGAGCCAGGAGCAAGCCCTGAGAACTGCCGGTGTGATTCCAAACCCAAAAATACTACTGCTAAGAACTTGCCAGCAATCAGCAAGGGCACAGTTCATTGTCCCCAAGGATCTCACTGTCTCATGAATCTAGGTGCCCAGCCCTGACACATGTCACATGCACACAGAAGCTTAATCTAGGTGCTGAGCCCTGACACATGTCACATACACACATCTGCTGAACCTAGGTGCTCAGTCCTGACACATGTCACACACACGTGCCGAATCTAGGTGCCAACGTTGAGCAGTGTCATGGGCACATACACGGGTGTTAGACCCCAGAGCTCAGTGTGTCACAGGTCAATGGGATCCAACAGGGCTGCAGCCCCAGCAAAGGGGTGGCCTCGCCCACTGACCCACCACGCCTTGCACATTGCAAACTGCAGG